AAAGTACAGGCTCTCCAGAAAGCAGTTAAGCAACAATAGAGGATTTGATTGTGAATTTTATATCCGAATGGAATTCAATGCTTGGAGATGAGATTTGCCAGAACCTAATCAATTCAATACCAAAAGGGGTGGAAAGGTTATTCAAATAAAGGAGGACCCATATATTATTAAATATTTCGAACTATATTTCCTATTATAAATAAATTATACCTCTTTTTTTTCTTTATTAGAAAGCTGTTCGGTTATGTTTCTATTGATTACTAGTTGCAGGAAATAAGTGAGTCACTTTTTTTGCACAGAGTTTTTCCTAAATCTCATTTATATCCAAAATTATAATTATCAATAGAATACCTTAGGGTGAGTAAACTTTTTTACTAGGTGGTCAGGAAGAGGTATTTATATTAGTAAGATTAAAAATTAGTTTGGCCCCAAAAACAAGAGGCGAAAAAATTTTTAAGTAAAAAATATCAGGTGAGTCACTTTTATTGAACAGCACTGTATATGGCAGTGAATGCTCGCCAATTTTTTCAAACACGAAGAAGAGATTTCAGGCGTATATCTGTTTCTACAGAAGCATTCTGAGTATAACTATCGACAAAGCATGTTAGTAATAGGATATATTAAGGAAAATCGAAACAAATGTACGCACTGTCTATATTTCTGAGATGAGGTATTGTTACTATTTACATTCACAATGTTTATTTATATTTCTGAGATGAGATATTGTTCGGACTTTAGGATCTGTCCTGAGATGAGATATAACTATTTTATTTACATTGTTCATTCCACTTTATTGTCACATTCACAATGTTTCGGCCCGTTGTACGCTCCAGCCTTCTGTTTAGGATCTGTCTATATGTTTCGGCCCGTTTTCCAGCCTTCTTTAGGATCTGAGATGAGATATTGTAACTATTTAACTATTTACACTATTTACATTTGTTCCGTTGGACTGATCTGTCCTCATCTTGTTATTGTCACATTCACAATGTTTCGGCCCGTTGTACGCTCCAGCCTTCTTTAGGATCTGTCTATATTTCTGAGATGAGATATTGGAACTATTTACACTATTTACATTGATCGCTCCAGCCTTCTTTAGGATCTGTCTATATTTCTGAGATGAGATGTTATCCTCATCTTTATTGTCATATTCACGACGTTTTGGCCGTTGTACAACCCGGCCTTCTTCAAGATCTGTCTATATTTCTGAGAGAAGGTATTGCAACAATTTATATTATTTACATTGATCGCACTGTTGTCCTTATCTGTATTGTCATATTCAAGACGTTTCGGCCGTTGTAAGCTCCAACCGTCTACAGAATCAGTCTGTGTTTCTGAGATGAGATATTGTTACTATTTACACAACTTACATTGATCGGGCTGTTATCCTCATCTTTATTGTCATATTCACGACGTTTCGGCCGTTGTAAGCTCCGACCTTCTACAGAATCAGTCTGTGTTTCTGAGATGAGATATTGTTACTATTTACACTATTTACATTGATCGGGCTGTTATCCTCATCTTTATTGTCATATTCACGACGTTTCGGCCGTTGTAAGCTCCGACCTTCTACAGAATCAGTCTGTGTTTCTGAGATGAGATATTGTTACTATTTACACAACTTACATTGATCGGGCTGTTATCCTCATCTTTATTGTCATATTCACGACGTTTCGGCCTTCGTACGTTCCGGCCTTTTTCAGGCGATATACGTTGGAATTTCGATACGAACCCTTTATTTTCCCACCGGGGTAGATTGACATGCCATTTCTGCATGAGCCAGTTTCAGTTACTTCCCTTTAGTAACTCAACTTTCGAAGTTGGTCACCTCAAGTTTTGTTTGCAGTGATGAGTTAGGGAACTCACACTTTTGGGTCAAGTCACTGGATCACGATTCAGATAATCCTTCTAAATAATGACGCTTATTCATTTCCGAAAATTATAAAGCATAATATGCCAAAAGTACAACTTTTAATTCCTTATTTATGGCATCCGTTTGTCGACGAAACATCAACATTCAACAAATTCTGTCTCACAACTGAACGATGTAAGGAGTCAATCTAGAACACACCAGAAATCAGGACCAATTACTGTATTACTTCAACCAACGCTTTTATCCACAGGGCCATGTGTCTTGAATATGAAAATAAAAATGAAGACAACAGCCCGAATAAGTTAAATACTGTAAATAAAAAGTACACTATTAATTGTAATCAGAAAGAGACACTTTAAAGTTCTAGTGTGTATAAGATGAAAAGAAAGCACGGAAAATTTGACGCCCTCAAGATACATTGAAAGCAAGAATAACCGTGGTTTAGCCGAGTGTAATCTATTTATTGAGTAAATTACTCACAGAATAAGGATTGGGAGTGATGGCGAAAACACAAAAAGTTTTTGGGAGTTGTGGTGAACTACATCCTTAAATAATGGAAGAAGAATTTATCTGCCCACGTACATTTCTATTTTTTGTATATATACTAAATTTGTTTGTGAATATTGCGGACCTATCGGTGAGTTTTTTACCATTATACTTAAAAGAAACTTTATTTTACACGACAAAATAATTTACTTCTTTAATACAGTTACGTTGTACGCAGTTAAATCAATAAGTCTGTAGCTTAATGAGAAAAAATCGTTTTACGTAAATATTTATTGTTCTATATCCTCTCCTCTCATTACTATTTATCCGGTGAGGCTTTTTTTTATCACAAGTAATAAAAACGATAAAATAATTTATTTATGAATACTTTCAGACTACAAAACCTCTTCACGCACAGCCGAATTTAGGGCCCGTTAGGCGAGTGAGAATGTTGCATTTCGAGCTTAAATAAACAACTTATTTTTTTTATTTATATCTTGTTCAACACACACACACAAACACACACACAGTTCCGCGGATCTATCTATCTATCTATCTATCTATCTATCTATCTATAAGGTCTTCTTTCCAACTTGCTTTCTATCTTTCAAGCTATCTATCTATCTATCTATTTATCGATCTCTTCATATATATATATATATATATATATATATAATGAGATGAACTAAGTCCGTTTCATAATATATTATGTCATTTGTTTGTGTTAAGATACGATCCGAGCAGATATGAGCGTTGGAGAGAAATCATGGCAATTTTGTAGTTCAAAACCAATAATTTGACCTTTCTAACAGACGCTTCCTTTGTAGCAGAAATGCTAAAGCACGTCAGGCTCTGTCTATATTTCTGAGATGAGGTATTATGTACAGTATTTACATTATTCGGACTATTGTCCTCATCTTTGTCGCCATATTTATCACAACGTTTCGGCCGTTGTACGCCGAAACTTTGTGATAAATATGGCCGTTTTACGCCAAAATAATGTAAATACTGCACGTCAGGCTATATTGCGGTTCTGTATATGTTTCATTTTTGTTCTTAATACTGTTTATTATAATTTACTTAAATATTTGTATCTATAAAAATAACGTATAAATAATATATATATATATATATATATATATATATATATATAATCAGCCTCTTCATATTCACACACACATATATATTATATATGTGTGTGTGTCTTTTTATCATGTCGAAGGTCGTGATGAGTGATTCAAACATGACGAAACACTGTGATGACATTGGATAGTTATTAACACAGACAGGTATGCTGTGGTAGCTCTCTCGCTAGCTAGCTTGCTAGATGGATGTGAAGAAGCTGAGATAGATAGTCAGATAGAGAAATAGGAGAGATAGAGATAGATACATAGAATTGAACTGACTGACGAAAATTATCTTTCTCTAAATTAAGTAGATAAATAAATTGTAGGCTATAAAGAAACATATATAAACAGTTTGCGATGGGTAAATTGTCGCTATTTTTTGTTTTAAAATTTCGCGTTTTTTTGTTTTTGATTTTGTCGACTGCACACTAGGGTCAGTTGACATGCTGCACTGCTTTGCATTCGCAAATCCAGTACAAACATTGCAGCGTTCTTTTTCTTTTTCTTTTTCTTTTTCTTTTTCTAATAACAGTTCAGAAAATTCGGAAAGAGTTGGCTGAGTCTAATGGTGATTACGTAGGTATGTCAGCTTGGAAAACTCACTCTCATCGTTTTGATAAAAAAAAGTATTCTTGAATTTATTGTTGATGGCTCAGACTCAACACGGCGGCCTACATCAAGTGCCTTGACGAGGTAATGCTGAGTCAAGAGGTTGACTGCCGGAACACCCTATATATGGCAACAGAAGTCGACACCATACCACACAAGAATTTAATCCCGTCGTAGCTGTCATACAATTTCTGTGATGACATCACCCTTTACATCTGGTCACCTAAGTCCCCAGACTGCAATTCACCTGATTATTATGTAGGGGGCGCTTTTGAGCGAGGGACTAACAAAACTCCTTGTAACACTAAAGATGAACTGAAGGCAAGTATTATGGCAGCATTCACCACCTTAAACGAGGAGACCGTCTAGAAGAGTTGCAGTAGATTCCGAAGTTGTCTGAAGCCCATGGTTTAAGGAAATGGCGATGTGATTGAATGAATTTATTTTTTAGTATTTTGGTGTAATTTTGGTAAATATATTTGCTAAAATGAGATGTCAGGGCTATTTTCATTTTTGCGTAATTTAAAAGAAAATTCATTCATCGCACCCTGCATATATAGATGTATGTATGTGTGTGTGTATGTGTGTATGTGGGTGTGTGTGTCTGTGTGTACGTACGCATAAAAACCTAATTATAAATAAATATATCTGAAAAACAAAATATTTTAAAAAATAACAAGATTAGATATTTTTATACAGACGGGTTTCGTTTAATATAATTGTTAAACGCAGACACACACACACACGCGCACACGCACACACACACATATATGTATATATATAATATGTATGTATATATATATATATGTTTGCGTATATATATATATATATATATATATAAAAATATATATAAATTCACAACACACACACACACACACACATATATATATATATATATATATATATACGATAGATATGTTTGTGTAAATTGACATAGATAGATAGATAGATAGATAGATGTTTCCTTTACTATAGAAATGGAAGGAAAGAGCGAGAAGGAAATATTACGAAATGCAGTTTCGTCAATCAGCAAAATATCAACATTGAAAACCGTCCGGGCCTCTTGACCTGCTGAGTCGACAACCGGCAGCCGGCAAGCAAGGAGAGGCGCAGCATTTTTTGGGACGCCGTAGCGTTCTGATTGGGTAATGTCTTTCGGCAAATCGGCCATCCAAGCAATAGCGTTGTAGGCTTTGGGCGCATGAAAAATGGCGGGAGAAGGGGAAAAAAAAAGGTGGGAATATTCCAGCACTGATCGGACCTCCCCGGGGCGGAGTTTTGAAATTCTCTGATCATGACGATGGCTCCACCTACACTGTTTGGGCAGCTGGTAAATCTTCTAATCGCTGATAGAAGTCACAAGAAAGAGAGTTTCAGGAAGTAGCGCAATCGTGCTGATTGGCCCGATCGACTGAAATGATAGATTATCCAAGAAATACATAAAGACGTTCCAGAGGCGGAACTCTTTTGTTGGTGTTTGCGATGTTCTTCCTCTTCTTCACGTGGTTCTTCTTCTTCTTCTTCTTCTTCTTCTTCTTCTTCTTCTTCTTCTTCTTCTTCTTCTCATTATTATTAGTAATAATAGTGGTGGTAGTAATAGTAGTAGAGGTATATTTAGTGACGTTCTGTGTTCGCTGTTGTTGCTCTTTTTTCCTTTTTTTTTGTTTGCTGTTGTAACCGTTGCAGCGATTATAGTGATGACATTGATCGTTTCCTCTTCTGTGCGTTCAAATAAATTTAATACTGATAATGATAATGTCAATGATGCTGAAGATGATAACTTGGTGAGTGTGACGTCAGTTATGGCCGTTGGGTTTATGAATAATTTTGGTCGGTTTATTTTAACTATTAATAAAGCTGCAATCTGCGAGGAAAAAAAATAGTAGACGCTTGTTAGGTGAAGAGAAAAGAAAGAAAGAAGGAATGAAAGAAATTATGAAATAAAATGGTTGTGCGTGAAAGAAGATAGAAAGGAAAACGAGAGAAACCGAATGGTTCTGTTTAAGAAAGAAATAAATAAAAAAAGAAAGAAATGATGAAATAAAATGTGTTTGAAGAAAGAAAAAAAGGAAAGAAAGAGGATAGAAAAACGTCAGAAACAATAAAATGGCACTGTTTAAAAAAAAAAAGAAAGAAATGATAAAATTAAATGGTTGTGTTTGAAAGAAAGAAAGAATGAATAAACGAATGAATGAATGAATGAAACGATAATATGAAATGGATGCGTTTGAAAGAAAGAATGAAAGAAAGAAAGAAAGGAAGAAAGAAACGTTAAAATCAAATGGATGCTTTTAAAATAAAGTAAGAATGTAGATAGAAAGTACAACGATAGAAAAAATAAAATGGCTGTGTTTAAGGAAGAAAGTAAGAAATGATAAAATAAAATGGATGTGTTTGAAAGAAAGAAAGCAAACGCCTGTGGTTAAAACAAAGAAAGAAATAATAAAATGATTATAGTTAAGAAAAGTAAGAAAAAAAGTCGGGGAAAGAAAGAAAGAAAGAAAGAAAGAAAGAAAGAAAGAAAGAAAGAAAGAAAGAGATAAGCACAAAAGACGTATGCGGGGAAGAGGAAAGACAGAAAAATGGAAAAAAAGAAATACAATATAAAATTATCATAAAGTGTAGAGAAAAAAAGGAAATGATCATAAAAAAGTTCTTTGAAAAATGAAGGGGAAAAAGAATACAAGAGTACAATTGTAGAATATAAGAATGGAGGGTTTGGAAGAAGAAGAAGAAGAAGAAGAAGAAGAAGAAGAAGAAGAAGAAGAAGAAGAAGAAGACGATTTGAGATGTACAAAATGGGTGCAGCATCAAAAATGAAGGGAAGAATGAAAAAATGAATGAATGAAAGAAAGAACTATTAATGAAATATATGTGAGCAGGAAGAAAAAAATAAACGATATATAAAAGAAATAACAGAACAAAGAAAGAAAGAGTGAAAGAAAGGAATACAGAAATACATGTTAATATAAAGTTTTATGAGATGTAAAATTAAATGTATAAAAAATGAACTACCAAAAAATGAAGTATTGAATGAATGTAAGAAAGAAACAAATATTAATAAAATCTATGTGAGTAGAAAGAAAGAAAGAAAGAAAGAAAGAAAGAAAGAAAGAAAGAAAGAAATGATGAACGGAAGCAAGCAAGAAATAATTGAAAGATTTGTCGGTAAGAATTGTGGAGAAAAGAACAGAGAAACAAACCAATAATATAAAAGTGGAAGACGAAGGAGAAGAAGAAGAAATAGACGATAAAAGTAATATTTATGTTGTATGAAAAAGCAGAAATAGGAAGAAAGCATATGATTAGACGAAGAAGACAAAACCCGACAAGATTTATGAAGCAATCATTTAAGGTCAAATCTCATTTAAATAAATAACAGGTTCGCAAATTACGCCGTCGCATTACAAGAAATAAAATTATTTTAGATTGTTATGTAATTTAGTAGCCAGGGAAAACTGCCAATTAAACACGTGGATGTTATTAAATATGAAAATAACAGTTATCCATATAATCCGATGACCACGGATAATCTAAATATATATCTGTGATGCCACGTACCAAGTCTATTGGATAGGAGTTTGAAATTTGAGGAGACTTGTTGTCGCTTTGTCCCTTATTACGAATATCCGAGGATATAAAAGTATCAATTATTACTATTAGCTTGCGAGAATGTTAAACTGCTGAAGCTAAAAGCCAGAAATATGAATGCTGATTTTCTAGGAAGGATAAACGCTTGACATAATGGCAAAGAAAAAATCGCTTCCATTATGCCCTCACTCAAGACACTTAAATTCCAAACGTGAAATAATGGGATACAATATCAACATAGTCGTCATTCCTGCTCTGGTTCGCGTAACAAGTGTGTTTTCACGGGATATAGTTGCTGAACCCTTGCCAAACTGCTTTTGAATTGTCATTTTGAGTTGTCATTTTCATGTACTAGCTGCCAACCAAGGTTGAAGGGCCTAGTCTGCCCTACTATGCAACACATATTATTATATCTAATTATTTTTTTGACAATGATGTTCACCCTATACTCGTGGTAGAGATTTACAGAGTAAAAGGAACAATTCATGAGGATATGACTCTAGATTTTAACAGGTTAATATTGTAGAGATCGGGGAAGCATCCTCTTGGGAGACGGTTCTAAAAAGCAGAGGCTTGTGGGAAAAATCTGCTCGAGCGGAGCTTAACTCTCATCAATGGCAGGTCTTAGGTTAGAACTGGTGGAACTGTCTGAATACTACGCATGAAAAGAGCGATAGAGCAAGGAGAGGCATGTGACGTTTCGTCTGTGCGAAAGGGACTGCAGAGAAGACGCATCTGAACCCTGTCAGAATAGGAAAGGGAAGACTGGGCAACTCCTGCCCAGATCTGGCATCCGTGCTCCCTTTTCGGCTTGATATGGATCTGGGAAATGAAGAGGATAGCAGGGGCAATGCAGTCTACAGACAATGTGCCAGCATCATTAGCGATGGATCGCATGTACGAGTTCCACTAGAGGTCTGGTTTGAGTTTGATGGCGATTAGCGTTCAAAGAACGGGGCCTCTCTGAGAGAAGATCCCGTCATCGTGATTGGTAAAAGTTCTAAGTCCGCTCGGTGAGGGTGATACCTCATCAGTTTGGCTTTTAGCAAATAACATGTGAAATGAAGAAAGAAAGGAAGGAATGATAAAATAATATTACTTTGGGAAGGAGAAGAAGAAATAAAGAACGAAAGAAAGAAAATGAACTTGTTAAGAAGATGAAAAAGAAAGAAAGAAAGAAAGAAAGAAAGAAAGGAAAAAGAAAGAAAGAAAGGAAAAAGAAAGAAAGAAAGAAAAAAAGAAAGAAAATAGATTGGTTTGGTTTGATTTGGTTTGTTTTACGGCATTTCAACCTCAATGGGTGATTTAATGCCGACAACTTTTTTTCTGGTAATATTTTGTTTTGTCAAAAATCTATTTCTGGGAATATTTTTTTCATAAAAAATGTATAGCTGGTATTATTATTTTAAAAAAATGTATTGCTGGTAATATATTTTTTATTTCAAAAATTTATTTCTGGTAATAATTTTTACAAAGTTTTTCTGATATTAAAATCTATTTTTCATAATGCATTTTAACCCCAGTTTCGGGGTTAGGTATTTGCCCATAGCTGCGCAAACTATAGTGCTACCACCCCGAGTCAGGGTGGATCTGAGAATACCAGCAATTAAGAGGTGGTTCCACGCTCCTCAAAACCTCCTGATCAGAGGCCTTGCTGTTGGACGTAGTTTATCGTCTTACCCAGGACTCGGATGTAATTTATCGTCAAAGCCAGGACGGAAAGTAAGTCGAAATAACTCTATTAAGGTTTTGGCAAGAAGAGAACAGAAAGAAATCGATTCATACCTTCTTTTATGTGCTACATCCTTTCAGAACGTGGCGATCATGGCTCTTCACACGTCTAATTCCTTGAGGCCCTTAGCAATCCCTCACCTTTCCTAAGACTCCTGACAGCCGTTCCACGATCCATTGGCACAGGCCCGTCAGGTAAGTGGCCCATTACCTTCCGATGTTTCCTTTGTCCTCAGTATGCCTTGTGAGTGTCATATTCTTCAAGTTCTTCTTCCTCATTATATATGTAAGAAACTCAGTTGTCGCTTTCTAATTCTGGTTTCTTTTTTTACAATTTTCCTTAAAATCCATCTCAGCATCTTCCTGTAGAAAACACATATTGTTCCCGCCAGTTTCCTCTTCATCCGCGAGAGCCTTGTATCAGCATTCACCTCCATACAAAAGAACCGATATATATATATATATATATATATATATATATATATATATATATATATATATATGTTTGTATGTATGTATTGGAAACGTGAATTATGATTTTTGCTGTGTCTTTAAAACCCAGTAATTTTAAAAGTTACTCCAAAATTCGCTTGAAGATGAAATGGAACTAATGTCTTTAATTTAATTACAAAATTAAATTCGGAGCGTTTAGCTTCCATTTTTGAAACATGGTTAGAACTGTGTAGCGAAAAAAAAACATATTTAAAATCAATTAATTTATAATATTAATGCTCTGTAAATTTACAATGAACCCTATTTTGTAAAATAAAAATATCTATAAGAACACCGGATTATATATCGTCTAGTTCTTTTCTTTATATATATATATATATATATATATATATATATATATATATATATATATATATATAAAAGTTCAGCACCCTTTTTCCTAACGAAATGTTCCTGTTTCTTGCTATTTTATTTAGCTTTTCGAGTGAGGATTTTGTTTATGCATTGGACGTTTCGGATTTTGATGTTGTTTTTTCCTTCCACTGTTAAAACTTTTCCTACATATTTAAACTCATATACTTCTTTGACGTCGTCCTCTCCAATTCTTCTGGCACGGCACAGTGAACTAATATTACTAACAATTGACCTAGCAGTTGCTTCAATATATTCAGTTTTATGTCAGTGGAAAACATGAAACGAAGAAGTTGCTCTCATGGGGATTACCAACAACCATGCTGATTGTGGGTGATATTTTGTTTCTGTTTGACCATTAAATTATCAAATCATTTTGGAGGCGTTAAAATTAGATGCCATTTCTTGCCCCAGGTAACAACTAAACAACTTCCAATTTTACTAAATAACTTACTAATAAGACAGGAGTAAATAGTTGTTTTGTCATCATAAATGAGTTAGTAACTAATGACATTGGAAACATCGGTCATGAAGACAAGAAAAAAGCCCTGCATTATTTTCAATGGCTTAAAGGTGTTAAATATTCGATCCTAGACACTACAGCCCTTGAGCCAGTATGTCAAACGCTGTCAAATGCCTTAGAGACATCTATAGCCACAGACCGAGCCTCACCGTTATTATCTAAAGCTTGATAGACAATTTCAGTGACCTCGAGAAACAAAATCCGTGTTGCCTATCAAATGACGAACGTGAGAATGAAGACGCGTAAACGTTTGGCAGTTAATTAGAGATTTATCAAAGAAGATAAACAAGACAAATTGGACAATAATTTAAGGAATCAGTACTTTAAACAGAGTTCCTACGGACAGGAAGTACAGAAAAGGATTTCCAACGAGCTGAAACGCAAGAAAGTATTTGTTGTAGACTTTGTAGAGAACAGTAGATAGTTCAGTTTTGGATAACTGCAGAGATACCGTCAAATCCGCATGCTTTGTCGGGGAATAGCGAAAATAATAAATAATAATTTGATTCTACATCAGGTCTTCAGATGTTAAACGACTGGCAATTTTAAATGTACATGCTTTGTTTTCGTTAATTAAGAAAAAACAAAAAAAAAGAACAAGTATGACAAATTGCTGTACAGTAATTTCTCCTTATTCTTTTTGTGTCCTTGCGAATATTGGATATTAATAGAAGTAGATAGAAGAATCCAAACATTAGAAATGAGAACCATTCTCCACATCTCTTACGTAGAAGACATGGCAATTCATAAGCACCACCAGATCTAAAAAAAATATAAATAACTTAAGAAGAAAGGACCCTCTAAAATAGTAAGAATATTTGCCTAAAATCAAAGATCTTACCGTACGTGCTTTGATATTTGGAATCATTCTGTGCGCCGCTGAGTCTTCTACAACAACAGCATTGCATCGATGAATTTAAATGTGCGAAATGAAATGCTACAGAACCATCCTTAGCATCTCAGTAGAAGGCATAACAACTCATAGCCATCACCAAAACTAAAAATAAAATAAAAAACATCTAAAAAGAAAAGAACATCTTCCTGAAGTTAGACTGTAGCTTGCTCACTTGTTCTCTTACTTTCTGTACACCTGCGAATTTTGGTCATTAACAGCAGAATTACAGCGAGGAATCAAAGCATTAGAAATGAGATGTAACAGAACCATCCTCGATATCTCCCACTTAAAAGCGTAACAACTGATAGCAACTACCAACACTAAGAACACATCTGAAAAGAAAAGATCATCTGCCTGA